ACAGCCACCAGCTGTTTAGTTTATCCACATCTGCCTGAACACTGCTGACAAATAAGTTCTCCAGAAGCATAATTTTGATCACCCCCCCCACCCCTGCCCCTTCTCAAGAGGCTATATTGTCATAAATTATCAAATTATCCCCTAACTGCTACCTCTTTTTTAAGGGCCTTATGTGTGATCTGCTCCCACATTTCCTTATTTTCACTACTACTTACCCAAACCCCTCCAGAACTTCGAATGAATCTCTGCCCTTGCTGACAGTAGGTTCAACCGTACCTCACAGCTGTTATACCCTCCCCCAGCCAGATTCTGTGCATGCTCAGGACCCATTTCCTATGCCACCTAGTCTTGGTCCTTCCTTACCTACTCCAACTGCCGAAGCTGCTGGGCAACTGGCATCACACTCAGAATGTTATACCTTATCCCCCTGTAGTCCATCTTTCCATCTGCCCACAGTTACCCAAGTAGTGATCCATTCCCACCTTCTTCACTCATTCACAAGTGGTACTTGTGGATCATCTATTTTACGTAATTTTTCTCAAACTAAGTGTTCCATACTAACTCAATTTTCTCTTTCCCCTCACTCCTCCCCACCCCCATCCTCCAAACTGGTTTTCCTCTTCCTGTATTCTATACATATCCCAAGCTGGAAATTTCAGAAGCATCCCTTATTCCTTCCTCTCTTAATACCCACATCCAATCTGGCCACTCAGTTATGTCAATTCTCTCCCAGAAAATATATCTCAATGCACTCTGTTCTGGCCCCAGGTCCTTCACAACATCCCTACTGAACCATTGCAATGGTCACCTGATTCATCATCTCAATGCTATTCTCTCAATGTCACGGGTCTTCTCCAAACAGGCGTCAAACATTTATTGGGGACCTACTTAACTCCAGGTATGGTGCTGGGCATTGGAAGTCTAACTTGGAAGTCTTTGACTTCCGCCACAAGTGTGAGTATTTTAAGGGTGGGAGCTTTGGCTAATTTAACTTTATATTGCCAGCCCCTAGCCAATTACCTGGCCCATCCTCCTTGATTAATGGATACTAGCTTGAAAGAATGAGTGAATGAGAGGAAAATTCTCCATCTGGGCAGTCCCAGATGAATTCATTCCAGGTGAATGGAAATAACAGTCCTGTTTTCAAGAAGGCAAAATTAGCTGAGAATTTAAGACCCAGACAAAAGATGGAATATGGGCAGATAGTTTGATAAATTGCATACAATCAGTTGGTGAAGAGTCAGACATTTTACAGTTTTCACTGTAGTATAATAGGTGGGTAGAAGGTTGGGGAGGTGGCAGCTGCTTTCCTAAATTCATTCTCCAAGGGTAGTCCCTTTTCAAAAATGTTTATGGAAGTAAGTTGACCTGGTGGACGTTAATACGACTATGAAGGGACTGTTTTGTGAATCCCAACACTACTCTGGGAAATGGGGTGAGTCAGCATGGGAGATCTTGAGCTGTCCATGTACAAAATAATGAACCAGGGATGCCTGGGTGGCTCAGTCAGTTAAGTGTCTGCCTTTGCCTCAGGTCATGATCCCACGGTCTTGGGATCGAGTCCCACATCAGGCTCCAAGCTCAACAGGGAGCCTGCTTCTCCCTCTCCCTCTGTCTGCTGCTCTCCCTGCTTGTGCTCTCTCTCTCTGACAAATAAATAAATAAAATCTCGGAAAAAAAAATAAAATAAAATAATGAACCAGTAAAAATGACATGTTGAGAACTACAGTGTGGACCTACCAGCTTCTGGCTGATAGCCACTCCCCTCATTTACACCCTCACACAAAGTGTTTAGGAAACAGTCAAAATTACATTTCAGAAAATTCTGTGTGTGCAATATAGTATCTTGATTAGGATCCTGGGACACAAAAAGGACATTAGTGAAGAAATGGGTATTATCTGAATAAAGTTTAGTTAATAGTAACAAGTTTGTAGTTAATAGTAACAAGTTTGTAGTTAATAGTAATTTATCAAACTCGATGTCTTAATTTTGACCACTGTCTCATGGCTGAGTTGTTAACATTAGGACAAACTGGGTGGAGGATAGTACTTTTGCAATGTTCTTGTAAATCTAAGATCATGTCAAATAAAAGTGTATTAAAAATAAATCCCAGGTGCCTGGGTGGCTCACATGGTTAAGCGTCTGCCTTCGGCTCAGGTCATGATCCCAGGGTCCTGGGATCGAGTCCCGCATCGGGCTCCCTGCTCAGCGGAGAGTCTGCCTCTCTCTCTCTCTCTCTTATGAATAAATAAAATCTTAAAAAAAATAAATCCCAATTCTGAAGTCTTATTTCTACCATATATGGAGAAGCAAGGGTCAGTCTGTGATTCAGTCACTAGCAGTCAGACTGCGGCACTTGGGGTGGGGGGTCAAAGAAAGTTGTCTTTTTGAAGTTCTCCACCTCCCCCATTCAAGCTTCACTGGCCAAGCTTTTGAGCCCTGGACTCCCCCCCTGCTCAGCAGCTGCTGTGGTCCTGTATTGTTACTTAATGACATGTAAGGCTGTCTTTACCAGTCTTTTCTCTGACCCCAGGTCTTTGCTGGGCGGTTTCCACAAAAATACCTCTAACACTGAGTAGCATGCTGCTTTGCCCCCTATCCATCTCTATTATACTCCATACATCATCTTGTTTTAATGTCTTCCCAGATTTTAGCTCCATGTAAGTTACCTTGTTGACTCACTCGTTCCTGATTAATATCTGTCTCCCTCTGTATGCAGTAAACTCCCTAGAAACAAAAACCTTATCTGTCTTGTTCAGTGCCTGACCCCTGGGGGCCCAAGATGGCACCTGGCACAGAGTGGATTTTTTTTTTAAGTCATAAATGAATGTAGTTTTTGTGAGAAAGTCTTCTGTAATGAATGTACTTCTGTACCCTCTCCACCTTCTAGAAGCACTGCACCAATAATGCCTTGGAGAATTGTAGCAATGCTCCCTGAAATCATCTCTCCTTTTCACATCCATCCACTTCATTGAAGAAGAAGCACCTGCCATCTGCTTAGTACAATCCAGAGAACCAAAGTCAAGCCACCTGAAGGGACACCCCACTTATTTACAGTAATACAACACTTTTTAAGTTCCTGTACACTACAGAGCGGTTAGCCTGTGGCAACCAGCATTTGAAAGTTCCCAGAAAACCACTTCAGGAGTCTTAATGCAGTGGTTGGAGAGAGTGAGTGAGTCAATCACTTCTTTTTCAAATTCTAAGGAGTTTGTGAAATAGACTTTTCTTTTCCAAGTGAAGTGCAACTTTTTTGTTTTGTTTTGTTTTGTTTTAGAGAGGGAGAACAGGGGGTTGGGGGCTTAGGGGCAGAGGGAGAGAGAATCCCAAGCAGGCTCCACACCCATAGCAAAGCCTGAGTTGGGGCTCAATTCCACAACCCCAAGATCATGACCTGAGCCAAAATCAAGAGTCAGATGCCAAAGCATGATGCCCTGAACAAGGGAAAGCAGGCTCCTTTTATTAGGGCTTGGGATGATGTTTGGAGGGGAATTTTAACATTATATTGAGGCTGAGGTTAACTGTTGGTCACGTCAGGCACTTTCTGATTCATCTGTGCTGGCCTCATGCTCAAATGTTTCTTTTCTGCTTCAGCAGTTCGTTAGTTTCTAAGAAGTTAAGCATAAGCTTCTAGGAGTATCTTGGGTTCAGGAGGTCAGCCCTGAGTTCAGGGAGTCAGTCCTGAGGTCAGGGGGCCAAGGGGGCTCACAGGTGACAAAACAAAATGGAAAGAACGAGATGGGTGAGGTATGATCCATATTAAACTTAAATAGTTAAATAAAGGCATCATTTTCATTCTCTGCTCTGCCTGTTGCTAGCACAGTGCATATGCACAGACGGTATGGAATGAACGACTCCATCCCCATCCCCACATGAGGGTGCTGAGCTGTCATTTGCTTCCCTTGTCACTAAGTAGTTCACCACAGCCATTTAACTTTCTATCCTCTTCATATGTCAACTCTGTAAGTTCCATGAAGGTGAACTGAGTGCATCTTACCCAACATTCCATTCCCAGGAAAGAGCACCCACCTATCACATACTCCTAGTATAAATATGCTCAAAAAATAATTGCTAAATGAGTGGGTAATTGATGAATGAATATATTCTGGAAAAAGAGACATCTGGGATGGGGAGCCCAAGCAAGAAATCTCAAATAGTTAAACATATACTGAACAGATACTAAGATAGGCTGTGGCAGTGAGGGACAAAAAGAACTTCAGAGGCACATACATGATTAATTTCCACCTCCCCAAACTCTCAGATGTTTTCTGAGATCTGATCTATGATACTGATTTGTTTGCTAGACCTGGTCTTAGAAATTCACTCTGTTAAAAGTGTTGGACTCTGAACTGCAAGGAGGGAGAGCAGGTTTATAAAGGCAAAAGCCACAAGGTTACAGAGCTTGTTTCAAAAGAATTACCATTACCCCTGCAGAGTTCAACTGACTGTTTAATATACAATTGTCAATTTAGCTAGCAGAGGTTACATGAGCTCTATTTCAGTCTGAAGTAGAAGAATGTGTTCCAGGAGGTGGTCCCAACTGACAAAAGTCAAGAGTTCATGGTGTTCCAAGAATTGAAACAGGAGACGTGCAGAGACCCCGCTTCTCAATAGCCTCCCAACCCTATTTTGAATGACTCTCTTCACAATGCTTAACTTCGGAATCTTCTTTCACAACCTATAGATGAAATTTAGATTTTATTCAATTTCCCAAATAGTCCAGGATACAAAGAGGGCAAGCATATAAAACTGGTGACTCCCTAAAGCCCCCTGGCTCATCCTTGTTTCTTCAGCCTCCTCGGGAAGCTCACACCCCCAGGACCCGCAAGGGCCCCTAACACACGCCGCCAGCTCTGACACAGGTGAATCTGGGTCGGACTTCCACTCCTCTAGAGGGCGCTGCACAGAGTCCGGTCGCCGGAAGCATTTCCACCCGGGACGCATTTTTCCGAAGGCAGTCCTCCAGCGGTCCCTGTGACGTATTTCCGGTTGGCCGAGTTACGCACGTGTGGCCCGGGAAGGAGTAACGTCAACCCGGTAGCCGAGTTGTGGCGCTGCAGTGGAGGCGCTTCTCCGGCAACATGTCTCATCTACCTATGAAACTCCTGCGCAAGAAGATCGAGAAACGGAACCTCAAATTGCGCCAGCGAAACTTAAAGCTCCAGGGTGAGATGCGCGGAGCTTGGGGACTGGGGGCCTCGGTAGCTGCGGGAGCCCGCCCCTGGGTCGCGGCGCTGCTCTGCTCGGGAGTCACTGCAGCCCCGAGGTGGCGTGGCCGCTTCCCCCGCGGCACGTGTGCTTGTTGAGAGTGAAAGGCAGCCTGGCGAGGTTTCCAGTCGGTCCCGCTCGGGTGCCGCTCTCCGCGTGCCCCAGATCTGCCCCTGATTTTTCTGAGCCTCAGTTTCTCCGTACAGAATCAGGACAGAAGCAGGCCGCCTGAGTTTTCTTCCCAGGCCTCCAGCCGGGCTTCCAGCTAAGCCACCTTTTCTGTGTCTCCCTTATTCTGAGTCCCTCCCACCTCATCCCCCACCCCACCCCCCTGGCCCATTTCCAGTCAGACACGTGGAACTTGTCATCTACACGCGCCTTCCTTTCACATCTGTTTAATGGCTACATTGCTTCAAAACAAGCTCATTGTCTCTCTTGTCACAGAGTTTTTCTTGATACAATTGCCTTCCCCTGTCCACGTCTACTCTCTCTCGACTCCTGGAGCATATCCTATTTTCAGCTCTAGAAGTGCCTTCTGCACGTGTCCAGTGCGTGCCCTATCTTCCCATTGCTCCTAACATCATGAATTCCTCAAGCGCTTCCAGGTGTTTGCATCCTTAATAAATACATAACCGAAAAGGCTGTTAGCTGAATGCCCGTCATTCTTACCCACCTCGTTTGCAGTCCTACGTTCGTTCCTAACAGAGAACCAGAGATCTTGAAGTTACCTTATCCTTTTTTGGATCCTATATAACATATCAATCCCCGAGGGCAATGTTGGAGGCATAATTCCTTACCCTAGTTGGATTCCAGCAGATGAGTGGCTTGCAAGGAATCCTGAAGAAGAGGACAGGTTTGTGGGTTTTAGAAATGGTTTTGAAGCTCCCTTGTATTACCAGTTCCGATGAATAATACAGCACTGCTAACTACTTCTTGGTACTTAAAGGTAACAATTAAAATTAAAAAATAATAATAAAATAAAAATTTTTCAAAGTGTTGTTACTTTTTATTATACGTAAACAGGGAAACTTTTAAAGACATCCCTAGGCATTTACATATATATATGATAAATACTGGGACCAATAAGTGAATTTTCAGTTCACTCCTGCTTAGAAAAGTTAGGTTGAGTGTTCTGAAATTATAGGAAAAGCAGTAGTTGTGTGAATAGATGGAAGTCTTTTCTGATATATTGGTTAGCCATGTATTTACCCACTACCTGATACTAACGTGTATTTGTAGCTACTGTTGTCTGGCCCCATCTGTTTAAATGTTTAACTTCACTGAAGTTTTGCTGTCCCAGATTCTTAACTCCGTATGGACAGATACACGGTTTTTTGAAGTTAAGAAATCAATGTAGCTTTCCCTTTTCCAGCATTTTTCATTAAAGGAAATTGACTTGTCCTGTAGTAGAACGCCATAATTAAGTGGTTTTAATAATTTAAGTACATGAAAGGGAATTAAAAGTCATCTCAGTCATGGACACCCTGAGGTTTCTCGCCTGGGATCCCAGCGTTCTTAAGCAAACCTACCCTTCTTTGTCACAACGTGCGTTCTGTTTTTAAACAGAGGCCTCGGATGTGAGCTTATCGGAAACCCAAAATGGACATGTGTCTGAAGAAACCGTGGGAGGTGGGAAGGTTAAAAAATCCCTAAAACAGTCTGTGAATGTGGGCTCGTTAGAAGCCCAGAATGGAGAGATAGCTAAAGAAACCGTGGAAACTGTACAAGTTAAAAAAAAAAAGAAGAAATCTACCATAGTAATCAATGGAGAAGCAGCAACACAGCCTCCCAATTCAGAATCCAAAAAAAAGAAGAAGAAAAAGAGAAAAATGGTGGATGCTGCTGGGCCTGGTAAGTACTTCAGTTTCTTTGAACTTCAGGCATTCAAACAATTTTCACAGTTTCACCTTCTTTCTTTTATTACTGTATTCATACAACATGCAAGAATCCCTATACTCATTAGTGTACCAAAAAATAACCTAGTAGCAAAAAGAAGCAGGGTAGGGGCTGGGGTGTGACTTTTTTTTTTTTCTGATTAAGATACTGAGAAATGTGTCGTGCTTTTACATTCCCTAACAACTGAAGAACACCTCACTCTTCAGTAAAAGCCTTTGAATTCTAGAAATTTGTTCTTTTTGATGGTTGGCTAGGCTTTTAAACAGACTATATTATGGCATAGTATTTTAGGTTTATTACCTGTTTTCAAACAGAATTGTGGCATTACACTAAAGACATCAGGGCTAGTACATTCCTATCTTCTAAAGTCTTTATTTCAGTGGACTTTGCATTAATGATTCTTTTAATTTACCCTTTTTTGTCCCAATTTTTTTTACTGCTGTAAATTTCTCCTCTTGAAAGGAGACTTAGTAATAATTTGGATATGCAAATTGTATAAAAATAGCAGGTAACTTCTAGGGCGCCTGGGTGGCTCAGTTGGTTAAGCGACTGCCTTCGGCTCGGGTCATGATCCCAGGGTCCTGGGATCGAGTCCCACATCGGGCTCCCGGCTC